TATTGCCATTTTTTGAAATGCATATGCCATGTGAATAGGATATATTATCTCCCTTTCTTAGCTGTGTGACTATAGATAGGTTACCTAAACTCTCTGAGCCTCAGTATCCTTACTGTAAAATGGGGATAATAGTTCTTACCATATATTTAAGACTGAATATTAAATGGACCAAAAGTTTGAAATTAGGTGATCAACAAATATGTTAGTTCCTTTCTCCAGCTCCTTCTATCCCTTCTTTTGTTCCCTTCTCTCCACCTCCCATAGATATTTACCTGTCTATGTGTGAACATCAACTATGTATTTGTAGTACTTTCCCCACTTTAAATTCTTAAACCAACTGATATAACCTTTGCATATTACTGTAAAATTGTCAAAAGCAAACTAATTTATTTATTTTTAATTTTTTAATGTTTTATTTATTTCTGAGAGAGAGAGAGAGAGAGAAAGAGAGAGAGAGAGAGAGAGAGAGAAAGAGAGAGAGAGAGAGACAGCGTGTGCAGGGGAGGGTCAGAGAGAGAGGGAGATACTGAATGCAAACCAGGCTCCAGGCTCTGAGATGGCAGTCAGCACAGAGCCTGACATGGGCCTTGAACCCATGAACCATGAGATCAGACCTGAGCCGAAGTTGGATGCTTAACTGACTGAGCCACCCAGGTGCCCCAAAAGCAAACTAATTTAAGTGATTTGGGAGGCAGACACACCTAGAATTATTATATCTTCTTGGTGGCTTGACCTTTCTCATTATGTAATATCTCACTCTGTTCCTAGGATTTGTCTTTGCTCTGAAATCTTCTTTATCTGACATTAACATAGCCATGCCTGCTTTCTTTTAATTCAAGCTTCCATAGTATCTTTTCCCCTCCTTTTACTGTCACCCTACCTATATCATTATATTTGAATTACATTTTTTATAGACAGCATATGGTTGTATCATTTTAAGTCCATTTTTAATTGGTGTATTTACCATTTATATGCACATGATTATTACTATGTTAAGTCTCAGCCTGCCATTTTATTTTGTATCATCTGTTCTCTCTGGTTTTAGTGTTTTTTTCTTCTTTGTTCTGCTTTCCTGTGGGTGACTTGAACGTTTTTTTTTTAAATGTTTGTTTATTTTTGAGAGAGAGACAGAGAAAGACAGAGTACAAGCAGGGTAGGGGCAGAGAAAGGGAGATACAGAATCTGGGGCAGACTCCTGGCTCTGAGCTGTCAGCATAGAGCCCAAAATGGGGCTTGAACTCACAAACTGCGAGACCATTACCTGAGCTGAAGTTGGACACTTAACCGACTGAGTCACCCAGGTGCCCCTTGAACATTTTTTTAAATTCCATTTTGATTTATCTATAATGTTTTTGAACACATCTCTTTGTATAGCTTTTTTAGTGTTTCCTTTCATAATTATATTATGTATACATAATTTATCTCAGTCATTTGATGCCATCATTGTTATCAGCTCAGGTAAAATATACAAACATCACCCCACTTTTACATCCCTTTACACTCCCCTATTTGTGACAGGAATGTCTTAAACATTTCCTCTATGTATAGTGAGTACTACATGAGACAGGGAGACCAACTTTAATCCAATCATCAAACATAATTGAGACAACTCAAAAGAAAAAGACTTTTCTTATATTTACCCATGTTTTAGCTCACTGTGTTCTTCCTTGCAAGAGTCCTTTTATTGTTTATTTTGTATTCAAAGAACCCACTTTAGTCATTAGTCATTCTTACAATGTAGACTTCCTACTGATAAATTCCCTGCTTCAAGTCATTTTAGAATGTCTTAATTAATCCTTTTATTCATGTAGGTTATTATAACTGCACATAAGATATTGGGTTTCATTTGGGATTTCATTCAGGATTCATGATTCCCTTCCTTCAGCACTTGAAAATGTTGTGTCAGTTACCACTAGGGTCTGATCAGTGTCTGATGAGAAATCTGTTGTCTTCTAATTTTTTCCCCGGAATGTATAGGTAAGAGGTTGTTTCTTAGATCTTTTCTTTGCCTTTTGTTTTCAGAAAGTTGATTATTATGTATCTTGGTGTGAATTTCTTCACATTTATCCTAATGGTGTTTGCTTAGCTTTTTGAATCTGGTGGTTCAAGTGCTTTGCTCAATTTGGGAAATTTTAGCCAGTATTTCTTCAAATACTTTCATAGTCCTTTTTTCTCCTCTTTTCCTGAGATTCTGTTGACATAGATGTTAGATCTTTTTCATAGTCCCACAGGTCTGGAGGGTGTGCTTAAGTCTTTTTTTTCTTATTTTTTGGAATCTAATTTTCCTTTGTTTGGATTGTGATTTCTATAGTTTGATGTGTAAGTTGTCTGATTTTTTCCTGTCTTCCCCATCTTGCTGTGGAGCCCATCCACTCAGTGTGTGTGTGTGTGTGTGTGTGTGTGTGTGTGTGTATTTGTATATATGTATACAATTTAAAGTAGATTTTTAAAAATGATCAAACCATATGTTGCCTATTAAAAAATGCACCTCAAATATAATGATATAGGTAGTGTGACAGTAAAAAGAGGGGAAAAGATAACATGGAAACTTGAATTAAAAGAATCCAGGAGTGACTATATTAAAACAGATAAAGCAGATTTCAGAGCAAAGGAACAGAGTGGGATATTACATAATGAGAGAGGGTTAGGCCACCATGAAAATATAATAATTCTAGATGTGTATGCCCCCAATATGTAAGTGTGTGTATATATGTAATATTTATGTATTATGTATATATATGTATATATATATATATTATATATATATATATATATATATACAATATTTTCCAGTTCACAAATTTGTTTGGTTCTCCTTTGTTTTGTATATACTTGCTGAGATTTTCTATGTGCTGAGATATTCAATTTCAAAATTTAACTGTGTTGCAATCGCTTAGTGTATCATTTTTATGATACCTACTTTAAATTCTTGAGATGAACCCTGGGTGTTGTATGGAAGCCAATTTGACAATAGATTATATTTTTAAAAACCCTTGCAAGATATTCTAACATCTGTGTCATCTCAATGTTGGCATGCATTTATTTTCTCTTGTCATTTAAGTTGATAATCTTGGTATGGCAAGTGATTTCTCTAAACATTAAATTTGGACACTAGACGCCTTTTAAATCTTTTGGTTTTGCAGATCTGACATGTTTTTTGTTTTGTTTTGCAGGAAGTGATCATTATAAGTTCAGGTTCTCCAGTGGGTGCTTTGTTGACTGCCAGGTTTGCAAGGGTCTTCTTGTTACTGCTGGTTGCTGCTGAGACTTCAGTCCTCTCTGTAGGCCTCAAATGTACCCATTCTAGCTGGGGATACCTGGTTTATAGTGGTAAGGGTAGAAGTTCTCCATGTGTTCTCCACTGGGAGGAATTAGTTCCTTTGCTTTCAATTGTTCCTTATTTGGGGATTGGGCAGAAGTTTCTTTAAATTCCAGTAAAAGTAAAAGTCTAGGCCCTCCACTTGCAGGCCTAAGCTTTTTATTAGCTGTATTATTATGATGATAGCTGGCCTCCTGACACAGGAAAGTATCTCACTCCCTATCTCCTTGTAATTTTGCAGAAAAAAATTGCAACATATCCCCCTCTCCAGCCTTTCCTAGACCCTCCATGGGATAGAGTGGGAAATCCAGAGCCTCTGCACACAGACTGACTGTGTTCCTCTCAAAATCTGACATTTTCAAGTTGTTTGGCTCTGGGAAAGTTACTTAAATGTTCTGAGCTTCCATTTTCCCAGTTGTAAAAGAGATGTAGGAAGCTCTCCGGACTCTTGCTGAAATAAGCAATAGTGGATCAGTGAACTTGGCACACCAGGTGCTCAATAAATAATAGTTTCCTTCCCTTTACACCCTTGTGGAAGTAGAAATGCAAACCCGCCAAAGGACAAAAAAAAAAAAAAAAAAAAGCTCAAGTGCTTCCCTACACCACCTATATGTGTGAGTCTCACCTAAGGCATTCACTCCAATGGTTAAATCTTTTGGTCCAAAGTCTTCTTTCTTAAAGAGACATACTTGATATTCACCCACGCTCCCTTTTTCTCCAGGTTCCATGAAAACACTAAAGGGAGACTGCGCAACTCAGGCCAAGCTGGAGCGGGCAAAGGGGTGTGGTTCTGGCAAAGGATAGTAGGTGCAGAAAAGCCCAGGCAGTCCACTTTCCAGTGATATTTGTTCTGAACAAGGACATCATTGCCTTGCTAATGCTGCTCTTGGAGGCAAGGGGTCAGGACACAGTCAAATTCAAATTTGTTTGCCTACCCTACACCTCTGGAGTCTTAGAACTGCAGTTGAGTTCCCACCTTCTGGCACACCCACCACTTACCCAGTCTCCATTGCTGCCATCCCCCTTATGAAGCACCAGGTAAGAGAGGAAGAAGGTGGTGAGTGTGTGAATGCAAGAAAGGCATACTCGCGAGTGCTTGAATGCTCGCATCCTCCCAGTCCCAGCCTGCCAGATACCTCTGCATTTCCAACTCTCAGTCCCTAGCAGCCACCACCAGCTCCAGTGCGGTGGACCTTGCTCTCAAATGGCTAACCTGAGCTACAGGTCCTGAAGTTGATCAGGAGACTGAAAACAAAAAACAAAAACAAACAAACAAAAACCAAAAACATCTCGACTCTGAAAGAGCAAAGAGCCAAATAACACCCTGGAGCCAACAAACACTAAAAAAAATAATAATGGATTTAAATAGGCCATCCACCAGCTCCCATCCCAAGATGGAAAAAGCTTTCTTGGAACCAACAACCCTTCCCAACCCCCCTGTGTCTCCATCTGGCTTTCTCTATGACACTGGCAATTCTCTGGTCAGTGTCTCGGCTGGTCTCAGTTCCGACACTTTCCAGCCTCCCTTATATCCTTGAATTCCGAGCATCGGTTCCTTTCCAGGCCCTCTCCACAAGTAGCTTAACAATAGATACTTTCCGTAGGTAACTCAGCTCCCTCCCGCAGCGGGGGATTTGGGGGCTTCCAGGGGGTCTTAGGGGCGCTGCAATGTTCCGCTTACCTGATCTCTTTAATGCTTTCCAATTTGCACATGATTTCTTGTTCATCTGCCATGCCTTTCACTCTCAATTTCACGTCCCGAGAAATGTACAAACACACAAGCCCAGGGATACAATAGATACAACGTAACCACCTCCTCCCGGCATGGGGCTCTGAGACTGTGCGGTAGGGATTCTGAGCAGGCCTGGGAGCTGTAGTCCTCAGTTCCAGGAGAAGCCAGGCAGCACAAGGACCAGCGAGACTACAACTCCCAGAAGGTCTAGCGAGACATGCTTCTTTCGCTTCCTGCAGCCACATTTTAAGTCAATTTGTCACAAATAATTATGTCAAAGGTTGTGAGGTATTCAAGCGAACGGGGATGTTCGTCTGGCCTGTGCTGAAAACATGGGGAAAAAATACCCCAGAAGGCAACTGGAGAGATAAAAGACGTACTCACACCCCTCCAGGGGCCCTTACGCCTACTCACCCCCAGAAGGTAATCAGGAGTCGCTAATTAGTGGCCGCTTTGTGGCTGGAGAGAAACCCAGCAGAATTCTTTTTTGGGATGCTGAGTGTTCTGGTAGAAGCTAGGGAATTAGTGGTTTTGGCATTCAGATGGAGATGTGGGAGGGCTGCGTTGGAGAACAGGCAGGGGAGGAGGGAGTAGCTGCTAAAGCTGGGGGAATAGGGGAGTGACCTAGTTCCTTCCAGTCTTCAGTCCGTCCTGCAAACTGTTAACTGAGTTCAGATTGTGCTAATCAATGAAGGAGGTACTGGGGGGAGTTACTGGGTGAGGCAAAAATAAAGATAAATAAGTCGTTGGCTTTGAAGAGCAGGAGAGACTGTAAGGAGACCCATTTATTACAGTGCCGTGTTCTATCATAATACAGGAATGGATAAGGTGTAACCTGAGCAGAAAAAATATAAATAGGTCTCAAAAGGTGACTGAGAATCTGCCAGACCACTGGGGAGGATAGACTTTCCCGGAGAGGGTACAACACATATATAAAGGAATGGACAAGTGGACTACAGTGTCTGAAGTATAAAGTTCATATATGGGCTGTGGAGGTAGGAAAGAGAAGTGTGGGGAAAGTATGTAGAAAAGGTAGGATGGAGCCAGAATATGGAAGACCTTGAATGTCACACTGAAGAGTTGGGACTTAATCATAGAGGCACACATTTATTCAATATACATTTATTAATTGCTTAGTATGTGCCAAATAATGCCAAATTATTTTATGTTTCAAAGCATGGGAGTGATAAGATTGGAGGGATGTTTTAGGGAGGTGACTCCAGAAGCCAAGTGGAAAATGGTTTGGAGGAGATGAGAGCTTGCAAGAAATAGTTACTTCCAGAGGACAGACTTGGCCAGAGAGTCTCTTTACAAAAAGAGGACTTTGGTTCATTCCCAACTAAAGGTGAATCAGAGCTCTCTCTGATTGAGCTTGCCCTTTTTCTAAGTCTCAGGTTCCTTATTTGAAAAATGAATCTATTTAGCCCCACTTCAAAGGCTTGTTGTGAGTACTCAATGAGATCATCCCAATGGTACTGAACACAGGGTTTGGTAATTTTTAGGCTCTAGAAATAAGTTAGTGGAATATAAATCTCAGGACATTCTGGATGTCCACATTGATTTTTTCAGAAGTTCTCTAGGGAAGAAATTGAAAACCTTCTCTTCTTTGGATCCCAGAAATATTTTTCACAACCAGGAAATTCTTCATGGTGTCTAGCCTAATACTTTCTTGATGGTCTTGAAGATTCCTGTCATAAAATGTCACTAGCAAGCATTTGAAGACATTGAGTTAATTTATCACAAAGACTGTGGGTCTGAGCTACCCTACCTTAGAGTCCAGAGGCAAGAACGGGACCAAGCTGTGTCCTTTAAGAGGAGGGCAAAGGGAGCAAGTCTGTGTAAGTGCCTGGTACATATCAGCTACTGTGCTGAGATCTGCATGTACAGTACCTCATTTCATCCTCACAACCACTATGAAGGTGGTAGGTAGATTTATCTCCTTTTACAAGGAAGAAAACTGACTCATATAGGGAAAGCATCTTGGCCCAAGGCCACACAATAAGTTACAAAGCTAGAGCCTGGACTCAGTTTGAACCAAGTTAGTTGTAGATTAAGGAAGGGAATATGTATGAAAAATATGGAGATCAAAAGTAAAATGGGGTCTTAGATGTATATATTTATGTCAAGCATAAATTGCTTTATGGGTTAACTCTGGTTTGAGGAGAAATGGAGGGAGTGTATGGTGATGTGTGGGAAGCAATTTAGGAATTTCTTTTGAGGTTTTAAAACTAACATTTCTTCTTCCACTATCCATGTACTCTTAGAATTTTTACCGCACATTGTATTCACATATCTGATAAGGGTCTAGCTTTGCCTCTTTTTAAATTAAATGTGTTAATAGCTTTACATTCTGATTTTGAAAGTAATTTTGCAAGTATCTTGTCTTTAAAGCCTCAACAAAACCCTATTTCACAGATGAGGAAATAGTCCAAGAGAGGCAAAGGACTTCTCCAAAGGTACGTACTCTGTCTGACATAGAAACAGGACTCTTAACTCAGGGGCTTATGCTCTTCCTTTAGCCCCACACTACCTGTATCAAGCTGCTGCATTTCCCACGGGATCCAAATGTCTCTGTTACTTCAGCCAGATAGTATATTCCAATACAGGGGACCTACAGAGGGCCAAATATGTCATATGATCCCAATCCATGATATTAAAAGAAGATGACAATTAATTTAAGAGAAGGAATCATGGGAGCACCTAGAGTTTGGAAGGTTTGTTCTATTTGTAACAATCAAGTGTCCAATTAAGGAAAGGGTTCATAAGCCTTTTATTTTTTTTTAATTTTTTAAATGTTTTATTTATTTCCGAGAGAGAGAGAGAGACAGCGTGAGCAGGGCGGGTCAGAGAGAGAGGAAGATACAGAATACGAAACAGGCTCCAAGCTGTGAGCTGTCATCACAGAGCCCAATGCGGGTCTCAAACCCACAGACTGTGAGATCATGACCTGAGCTGAAGTTGGACACTTAACCAACTGAGCCACCCAGGCGTCCCATTCTTGAGCTCTTTAATAACTGGTATCTCACCTGCTCTTTACTGAGTTGTAAGAAACTAGGCTAATTAGGAGAGAAAGGAAAATGTTATTGATAAGAAAGGAAATAGAGGGGCGCCTGGGTGGCTTAGTCGGTTAAGCGTCTGACTTTCGCTCAGGTCATGATCTCATTGTTCGTGGGTTCGAGCCCCGCGTCGGGCTCTGTGCTGACTGCCAGCTCAGAGCCTGGAGCCTGTTTCAGTCTGTGACTCCCTCTCTCCCTGACCCTCCCCTGCCCACGCTGTCTCTCTCTCTCTCTCCTAGAAATAAATTAAAAAAAAAAAACATTTATAAAATAAAATGAAATAAAAAAAAAGAAAAGGAAATAGAAATTATAGCCTTCTGCCCCTTTTCCTGAAGCAGTACATCAAACAATATTCAAGCCAAGCTGGTAGTATTCTTATAGTAAGTGTTCAATAACTCACTTGATTAGAAGTTTGTAATGGATGAGAGAATATTTAGGAGCTATGCTAGCAGTAAGTTCTAATGAATTTTTTAATTAGAAAAACTGATTGCTTTGAGGTGGTGGGAAAAAAATCTTAATCCTATCAGGACCAGCATTGTCCTTATTGCTAAGAAACAGGTAAGGAGAGCAAGGAATGTTGGGGTGAATACCATTAAAATGCAAGGAATTAGTAAAGGAGAAGCCAGCCAGTTGCTTGTAGACATGATACTTTTAAGAAATAGATCAAGATTTAAAGAGTAGAGGCCAAAATATTTGAATTCATTATATTTTCCTGTGCTTCAATAGTAAACTGAAAACTAAGGAGGCAGAGATGTAACTGCCTTCCAAAAAGTGTTGCAAAGTGCTTATTAAATTTCTCAAACCAGGGGTGCCTGGGTGGCTCAGTCGGTTAAGCGTCTGACTTCAGCTCAGGTCATGATCTCATGGTTTGTGGGTTCAAGCCCCATGTTGGGCTCTGTGCTGACAGCTAGCTCAGAGCCTGAAGCCTGTTTCAGATTCGGTATCTCCCTCTCTCTCTGACCCTCCTCTGCTCATGCTGTCTCTCTCTATCTCTCTCTCTCTCTCAGAAATAAATAAAACATTTAAAAAATAAAAAAAATTTCTCAAACCATGTTTCTTAATTATCATTTCTAAGAGAAAAATGAGCCAAAGTTTTTGGTTCACTCAGCTAAAAACTATTTATTGTGTACCTATTATGTCAGGCATTATGCTCTGCAGCAGAGATCCCATAATAGATAAAACAGTCCATCAGCTCTGCCCTTAGCAAACTTGCAGTTTATTTGGAGCGACCAGTTATATTACAAAGATTATACACAAATATATAACCATACCCAGCAATTAAGGATTAGAAGAAGTCTGGGTTCTCAGCATTCAAGAATCTCTCATGGTTTGCCTCTCTCCCCCTCCCCCACTATTTCCCCCCTTCTTCTCCCCCACGGTCCTCCGTTAAGTTCCTCCTAATCCTCCTATACGTGCAAACATATGGACTCTTGAATGCTGAGAACAAACTGAGGACTGATGGGTGTGGGGGGAGGGGGGATATGGGCATGGAGGAGGGCACTTGTGGGGATGAGCACTGGGTGTTATATGGAAACCAACTTGACAATAAATTATTTGTAAAAAAAAATAAACATTCAAAAATTTTTGAAATTCAAATATAACAGGCACTCTGTATTTTTATCTGCACCCAGATAAAACTTTATTATCTTTAAAGGTTAAAAAAAAGAAGAAGAAGAAGAAGAAGTCTGGGTTCTGTGAGTACACATAATATGAGAATAAACATAGTCCTGGGCAGAGGGCAAGGTTATAGTCAAAGAAAACCTTCCCAAAAGAAACTAAGCAGAAAAGGAGGGAAGGAGCAGGAATTTGCTCAAGCAAATGTTTCTTGGGCACCTACTACATGCCAGACACTCTTCTAGGTACTGAGGATGTAGTGCTTTTCATGTATTAATTCAGATTAATTTTTGCAATGACTCAATGAAGTATTTCTGTTATTATCCCCATTTTATAGAAAAAGAAGCTATAAGGCATAGAGAAGTTAGATAACTTTACCAGAGTCACTCAACTACTAAGTGATAGTACTGATTCCTGAA